CGCGCGCGGGAGGAGGGGGAGGGCAGGCTCCGGGGAACGCGCGCGCTGTCTGTCTCTTGGTGGCGGCCGGGCGCGCACGCGCTTAGGCCCGGGAACTCTACAGGGACCACCGCGGGCTGGAACGCGGGCCGGGCTAGAATGCCGGGCCACAAGGACGCGGGGCTCAGATCGCCGGGGTCACAGGGCTTCAAGACTGTAAAGTAGGTCGTGAGGGGAACCCAGACGATGGGGGTAGGGGGAGCGCGCGTGCGCGCTCCCGAACGCGGGGCGCATGCGCACGTTGGGGCGGGGCAGGGCGGAGGCGGCATGGGGCACGTACTCCAGGCGGCAGGCCAAGGAGAAGTCAGAAGGCCTGTCTGGTCCCTTCCTGCACTAGTCTACCCACCCATGTCGCGCAGCAAAACAGACGCTCAGAACTTGTGATTAAGTACTTTATTAGGCTTGGTAAAGAGTTTCATCAGTACTCCAGTTTTAAAAAAATGTATAAAAGCTACATACAAAACGTGGAATCAGACGACTAAACTTTCCCGACTCAGGGCCAAATTCTGCAAAAAGAGAAAAGAAAAGAATGTGAACTGGACGGGCTGGAGGAGGAGGGTCTGGGGGCAATCTGAAATCAGAGGGACCTAGCTAACCTTTTTCATCCTCCGCTCCCGTGAGGCCTGCGAGTCAGTCTCTGAGTAAGGTGGAGGCGCTGGGGGGTAGCGGCCCTCCTCTTCCTCCTCGTCTTCCTCCCTGTAAAGTCTCCTTCTCTCTCCAGACCCCTTTTTCTTTAAGGCCTCTTCTAAGAGTCGTCCGTCATACTGAGTGTCCCGGGACCTGGAGCCGGCATCCCGAGGATCCCGGGATCTCTGATGGGATCTGGGGTCCGCACGCCGGTCCCTAGACCTGAGGTCGTCATAATAGTGGGGATCTCGGGAATGTGGTAAGTCCCGAGGATCGTCGGGGTCATAAAGGTCATCCCGGCTGCGACTTCTGGGAGGTGCATAGGCCCGTCCTCTCCTCCCACTACTTGGGGGAGAAGACCTTCCTGATTCAGTGGAGCCAGGCCTGTTGATATCATCCAAAGCATCTACAGAGCGGGCCCGAGGCCGCCCAGATCCCCAACCACCCCTTGGCTGTTCTTGAAGGGGTTCCTGCTCCCACATTCTGGGACTTCGAGGCGAGTGGTGACTCCACTCCTCATCCCGGATTGGGGTAAGGGCAGGACCCCTGGAAGGCCGAGATCTCCAGTCATCTTCATGGAGGGAGGTGACTTCACTCATGGCTGTAGAGAAGGGAGATGTCAGTGGGACTAAGGATAAGTCCAGCCTTGTCACCCAGAGGCACACACCCTTCCCTGCGAGCACAGCAGGCAAGGAGTGCATGCAACATTGTTACCAAGCATGCATCATCCCCTAGACTCAGGTCTGCAGCTCACCCCGTTCTACTCGGCCATTGGGAAGGCCAGGCCGGGAAGGGTCAAAGTTGGCTAGTTCCTTCTCCATATAGTATAGGACCCTCATGGAGTCATCCTGCTGACTAGCCTGTATCCTGTAGCCACTTCGTACTTCTGTGGAAAGGAACAAGGTGATTGTTTTTTTTTTGGGGGGGGGGGGGTGCATGTGGATCAACTCTCCAGCCACATTCAACCTCAAAACAACAGGCTCTTACCTGAGGATACACTGCCATCAACATCACGCATCAGAGGTACCTGGGAGCTGTGGCCACCGACTAGTAGAGATGGGTTGTCAGCAGTTACTCTTTGGAGCAAAGCAGGGCACTCCCAATAGTCCATGTTCCCTTCCAGCCTTATCCCACCCCATCTGGTCTCCCCTAGGCCTTACCTGAGCTATTCCTGTCAAAGTCTCCAGGGTACCTGCCATAGGTAGGGCCCATGGGAATCATGGCAGGCGGCGGCGGTGGGGTCTTGGCAGGAGAGAGGTGGGTGTAGATGCTGGGGGCATAGATGCTGGGGACACCTGAGGTGGCTGCTTTGCCAGCAGCATAAACTGGGAGGGCAAATTGGCACGAGAAAGGTGATCAGAAGCTATGCTGTCTCATGTTGGAATAGGATTTTGGGGGAACCTGAGTTTGCCCTCCATCCCATTCCTACAATACTGTAGGTCTCCACTTCCTATCTGACTTCACATGGAATTCTGAGAATAGGGGTGCACACTGGTAGATCAGGCTCCCAATCTGCATGTTATGGTTATTTGTCAACAGATGACAATGGAAAGGTTTCATGTGAAACTCTAGGGTGATCATGTGTCTGTGTTCTGTAATGATCCCAGAACTTTAGACTTCCTAGGTAACGGTTTCACCACTGAGCCATGTTCCCAATACCCCCCCCCCCCATTGTCTTGAGATGAGGCTTCATAAATGACTCAGGAAGATCTTAGATTCATTCTGTAGTCAAGACAGACCTAAATAAGAATGACAGCCTGACAGCCTTGCTCCTAAAGGCCATAGTAGGCAAAGTCACTCCCTTTAGAGAGACAGTCCCCCCCCCTTCTGGGACCACTAGTGTCTCCATAAACTGAGGCACCCTAGACTATACTATGGAAAAGTCGTGACTGTGGAGTGAGGCAAGCACACAGGAGCCTTGGAAGTTTACCTGGCCCACACCCTGGAGTAGCACATACCTCCAGGGTTTCCAATTGCTGGCCACACCCACCCCTATCCACACAGCTCATTCTGGCTTGACAGCTCAAGGGTAAATCCTAGAGGCTGGGTACTGGTGGCAATTCCTAACTCAATTCACTGGGTCCAGCTTGGCTTTCTAGTGTAGGACTATAATACCAGCTACCTAGGAGGCTGAGACAGGAGGGTCACAACATGTTCAACGCCTATCAGAGGGGTTTTTTGCCTGTTTATTACCAACATCATTTATGTCTAGTGTGTGTGCACCACAGCAGTCTATGGAAGTCAGAGAACAACTTGCAGAAATCTCTGTTCTCTCCTTCCACCAGGTGGGTCCCAGGGATTAGACTGTGTTAGGCTTAGCAGTAGGGCCCCTTTACTAGCAGAGCCATCTCACCAGCCCTGGGTCCTTGGAATTTGTTTGTTTTAAAGAGTTACTTCCATTATTTTTCATTGGTGTGTGTGTGTGTGTTGGGGGATGGGTATGTGCATTTGACTGTAAGTGCCCATGGGACCAAAGGAATAAGATACTCTGAAGCTGAAGTCATAAGCAGTTATGAGCTGCCTGACATAGACCAGGCTGGCCTCAAGCTCATAGTGATCCACCTGCTTCTGCCTCCCGAGTGCTGGAATTAAAGGCATGTGCCACCATACTGGATTAATCTCTCCAGTCTTAAAGGGTTATAAAGTTTTTGTTGCTGTTTTTCAGATTTTTGAGACAGGGTTTCTCTCTGAAACAGTCCTGGCTGTCCTCAATTTGCTTTGTTGACCAGGCTGACCTTGAACTCACAGAGATCCACCTGCTTCTGCCTCCTGAGTGCTGGGATTAAAGGCGTACACCAACACCACCTGGTGGGCTACAGAGTTTTAAGGCCAGTCAGTTTGAGTAATTGAGGAAGTTTTGGGGGTTTTCATAGGGCCCACATAACATGAAAACCCCCAAACTTCTGCTGTGCAGAGCTCTGCCCAAGCTGTGTCAGCCTGTCAGGCGTCGAGCTGGCCACAAAGCCCCATCTGGCCTGTTCTTTTCTTTGGGTTAAACACCAAGGGGCAGACCTATCTGAACAGAACAGCCTCCCAGGGAAGACTAAAGGGCCAGCAGCTTAGTCCCCTAAGAGGCACGGGGTGGAGTTACCCACTTTCTCCTTCTCTTTCTCTCTGCTTTAGGTAGGTGCTTCCTTCATTTCTGGTCCCATTTTCCCAGCCCTTCACAGGTGCTCGCCTGGATGTGGGGGGCTATGTCTCAATACAGAGGCTCCATGTGAGGGGCAGTTTGAGTGCTGTGTGCTGCTTAAAGTTGAAGAAATGATGTGCCCTACAAACCCTGCTTGCTTTCTTACCTTGAGGTTTTTGTTTTGTATGTTGAGATGGTTCTGTGTAGCCCACGCTAGCCTTGAACTTCAGCTTTTCTTGTCTCTACCTTCTCTTCCCACAGTGCTGGGACGGCCTAGGAAAACTGTCAAACCCACCTGGATTTTGTTTTAAAGGGGTCTTTACTTTCCTGGGAATAATATCTTATAATGTTGGACATTATTACTTTTGGTGATCTTGTTTTTTGAACCACAGCCATAAATTATCCTCTCAAAAGAAAACAACCTCAAGAGTTAGGGCTGTCGTTCAGTGGCAGTGTTTGCCTAGCATGCGCAGGGCCCTTGCTTCAATCCCCAACACCATAAGAGAAGCCTCAAAATAAAGGAAATGAAAAGTGTAGTGACTGATAACGGAGAGTAAGTAATAGGTCTGCGCGGCCTGCTCTGCACATTGCCTCAGTCTGCAGAGCGGTGGGCAGGCCCATGTGCCCAGTAGAGTTCACTGGGGGAAGCGGGTGAGGGGCACTTACGGGCCTCAGGGCAGCAGCACTTGTCTGGGCAGCAGGGACATCTGACATAGCAGCAGCAGGTGTGAGGACAGCACTGGCACCAGCAGATGCCCAGGAGGAGGAAGAGGAGGAGGCTCGCCAGACAGACCACGACCACGA